TGCGGGCGGTGTTAGGGCGCCACCCCCGGCCGAGCAGCGGGCCCGAGTCCAGCGCCCGAACCCTGCAGGGACGTGACGGCGCCGCGGCGCTTGGCTCCCCGCCGCCCCGCGCTCCCCACCCCCGCCCGCGGCGGGACCGCGCCCGCCGCTCCGCCCCGCCCCGCGCACCCGTGTTGTAGACGTGCAGTTCGTCGGCGATGCCCTCGTTGCCGCCTCCGAAGATGATGACCAGCTCGCGGATGGCGACCGCGCGGTGCCCGTGACGGGAGCGAGGCACCGGCCCCGTGAAGGAAGACACCCGCCTCCAGCTCAGCCCAGCGGCGGCCGCCGCCATCTTAGCGCCGCTCCCACAATGCACCGCGCGGCCAGGACAGGCCGCGGGGAAGGAGGGAGGAAGGGGCAGCGCCGAGCCCGCGGGAGGCGGCGGGGCGGCCGCCGCGGGTCACGTGATGGCGGTGGGGCGGGCACCCTACGGCCCTGAGGGGAGAGGCGGGGAGGAGACGTCCCTCGGAAATGTGTCACAGGGTTGTTGTTAAGTTGGCCATGGCTGAGTGTGCTGAGCGATAGGCCGCTGACTTCATGTGTTTCAGTGTGTGCCTGTTGCCCTGTCCACTTGACTTCAGCCCATGAGATATTTATAAATATCGATAAAATCCCCCCTCAGCCTTCTCCAGGCTGAACAGTCTCAGGGCTCTCGGCCTGTCCTCATAAGGGAGAAGCTCCAGGCCCCTCACTATCTGAGTGTCCTTCTACTGGGCTCTCACTGGAAGTTCCCTATCCCTGAACCAGAGAGCCCAGACCTGGACACAGCACTCCAGGTGTAGCCTCATCATTGCAGAGGAGATCAAGAGGATCACATCCCTCGACCTGCTGGCTATGCTCTTTGCAATGCACCCCAGGATGCCATTGACCTTCTGGGCCACGAGGGCACACTGCTGGCTCATGGCCAACCTGTTGTCCACCAGGATACCCAGGTCCTTCTCTACAGAGCTCCTTTCCAGCAGGTCAGCCCCTCACCTGTACTCTCCAGTATTCCCCAGTAGTTATTCCTCCCTAGATGTAGGATTTAGCATTGGTCCTGGGTGAACGTCATCAGGTTCCTCTCTGCCCAGCTCTCCAGCCTTACTCTTCCACAAAGTCTTGGTTCTCAAAACTGGGCCAGGGCTGTCACGTCCACAGTGTCATATTCTTCCCTCCACCAATCTATCATCACCAAAACGTCATGTTTATACCATTTATTTTGTCCATGAGGATCACAGAGCACTCAAATGGGATGAGGTTGCAGAGGAGAGGCACTGAGTACATTAACGAATGCTCTCCTCTACAAGAACAAGGGAAAGTAGCAGATTTTAGAAGCTGTGGATCTTGCAGGGATCCTGCAGGATCTTGCATGTTTAAAATGCAAAAAGATTAAAAAAAAAAAAAAAAAAAGGGGAGGGAGGAGGAGAAATGCCTGGTGTTCTCTCAAACTTTGGAAACTGGTTTAAGACAAGATCAGTTGGTATTTTGGATACAAAAAACAGAAGGACAAGGACACCTGATGGGACTCTGTGAAGGCACAGCCCAGAGCTTGGAGCTGTCGGGAAACAGCAACACCAGGAGAAGGGGAAACGGGAGGGGAGGGCAGTAGCTGGACATGCACAGTGGTAGCGCCAGATGCAGACACACAAAAGCAAAGTGCTGCAGCAGGGGCTGAAGAACTGCGATGACATCATTGAGCATTGAGGCCGTGATGTCACCAAAAGTTGCACTGTGACCTCAGCACCATCTGCACAGCTTTGGGCGCAGGCAGAGCCTGGCCCAGTCAGTCTCGTGCCTGGACTCCCGCCGAGCGTGTGGTTGCGAGGCTTGGAGGTGGAGCGAGCATTTGTCTTGGGTGCTGGGCTGTGCTTTGGGCACTGCTGGCAGTGGCTTTCGGTGCCCATCCTTACAGCCATCACTTGCATTTCCCGGGTCTGCCTGGCTCAGAGAGCCAGGGCCTCACGGGGTGCACACACAGTAGCAGAGGTGAGCTGAGGGGGGACATATCCTTCAGGGTGGCAATGGGGTGAGCACTGGGACACAGGGAGTTGGCAGGGCCAGGGCTGCATCCTGAGGGACCTCTGTGGGTTTGTGTGGAGCATGCAGCAGCCCAGATGCGGGGCTGGGAGAGTGTCCCACTGAGGAACCTGTGTGTTTCTTCCCTCTGTCCCTGGGACAGTGACTGACTGTGCTCTCTCTCCCTCTTGCAGTGTGCAACATTCACACCTGTGGCACTACTGGAGAGGAGCTCTTCATCTTTGCTCCTCTGCTAGCCACAGAGTGAGGAGCATGGCAGCAGAGGAGGAATGGGTATGTCCCATCTGCCGTGATGAGCGCAAGGACATTGCCTACGCGATGCCGTGCCATCACGAGTTCTGCCTCAGCTGCATCCTGTGGTGGGGCAAGCAGCAGGATAGCTGCCCTCTCTGCAGGAGGGTCATGGAAGTGGTCAAGGTGGCAGCGTTGGATGATGATGAGGACCTGGACTTCGTCATCTGGCCTCCAGCAACACCTGTACCTGTCTGCTTCCAGGAAGCTGTTGCTGCCAGTTTCAGCAGCTCAAGCTCCTGGCTATCCTCTTCGCCATCACCTTTGCTGTTGTCAGACGAGGAGGTCGATGAAGAGGCAGAGGAAGCAAGGGATGAGGAGGCAGAAGATCAGGACAATGAGGAGGTAGAGGAG